GTAAGCTGAGATGTGTAATGCCTTGTAATGTTCAGATTTGAGTAGTGCTTGAAACTTGTTCAGTTTCAGATTTGTGCTTGCTTAGTAGTACTTATTTTGTTCATCTGAGAGTATTAGAACAGTCTCCTGTGGTATCATATTCGTATTTGTGTATGTGTGTGTTCATCTAATTTGTTCCATTTTTATAGACCATGTGTTACCTCTAGTACGAGTGTTATATAAATATACATGTATGTGTGTGTGTAATTCATGTGAAATATTTCTGTTCTTGTCCCGTTATCTTTGTTCTGTCCTTTTCTTAAATATACTTGCTAGTCATCTTTGTGATCGTATCTTGTTACTTCCTTTCGTTGATGATGATGTCCTGTGTTAGTATTTTAGTTTGTCAAGTAACATGAAAATACCAAAAGATAGTGAGTAAATTTTGAATCTTCCGGTGTTGTTTGCATTTTCCTTTTCCACGATCTTCGAGAACAAGCTTGTTTAGTTTAGATTTATTTTATTGCATTCATAATCTAAATTGTGTTACCTAGCTTTAGCCGAGCATCATCGTTGATCCTCTAGTCCCCGAGGAGAACACGACATCCGCTGTTTGTGGGCGATTCACTCCGCTATATTTACAATCGATCAGCATACCACGGGAGGTCGGCGCGCGGTGATGGAGGAGTGAACTGCGGGCCGCGGCGCTACGGACTGAAGGGGCGATGTAGTGGCGGCGAGAAGGTCAGGGCGACGACGGGGACCGCGGGCCGCGGCGCTACAGCCCGAAGGGGCGGCGCAGCGGCGGAGCGCGGGTCGATGCAACCACAGGGACGGCCTCGTGGCAGTGGCGGGGATCGTGTATCGCGGCACGACGCCCTGAAGTGGCGACGCGTGAGTCAATGTTGCCGTGAGGAGAACCATAGGGCGGCGGCGCTGCAGCCCGACGGGTTGACGCAGCAGCAGCCCGTTGCTTGATCGGTGGAGAGGCGTGTTGTACTCGGAACAATTTTTACGGAACCTGCGGAGACGCGCGCAACTGACGGACCAGATCGGTCGCACGGCGTAGATGAAGCGGATCGCATGCAGTTAGGTGATCAATCCAATCACTCGCGAGGTTGGAGTAGCTGCTCGGCTGGCGATGAAGGTACATGCGTCGTGCGTTCCGCGGCCGGACGTTGCAAGAGCCTGCGACTGTGTTGAGCCAATGCAAAATTATGTGATGTAGATGGCCTCAGCTGCACGTACTAATGCACTATCATCCAACACACGCATGAGCAAGGGCTAGTGCAAGTCTGCATTCAGCGTCCGTGAGACTGACCTGACCTCGAGCCGCACGGCGTGGATAACCACGTCGGGGCTAGGGGCAGTGCGTTGCACCAACGCACCACGGGCGTGCTGTCTTGCAGGAAGGAGCGTGATGGAGGCGAGCTGGATGAAGGCGAGGTTAAAGGAGGATTCCTATCCAATCAAGGCGGCGATGTTTGGCGCAGAATGACGCGGGCAATGGATGCGCGGACGACGGTCGTCCCGCGCCGCCGTGTGTCGCGCAAGGCTGTCGTGTCGGAGAAGAGGCCGCGTAGTTGTGACGATGTCAGAGTAGAGGCGCGCGGGGGTCGACGGCGGCGGCGGGCGACGCAAACCGATTTTAGATCGAAAAATCAAAAAATAAACGTTGATCAAAGCGACCGGCGATATACAGAGAAAAACCCGGAGCAAAGGGCTCGGGAAAAAGACTCTCTAGGGCAGCCGGTCAACACGATCGGGAGACGAACCCTAGATATGGGCGGCGCGGCCCCCGACGGCGATCATGGAGATCCGCCCCGAGGGCGGCGCGGTGCGGAAGCGGCGGCGGCTAGGGTTTGGATCGAGATTAGTGTGATACCATGTTAGAAGGGTGAGATGAATTGGTAGAATAATTGATTGTATTGCTTGAGCCTCATGGTCGTATATATAGTGAATACATGATCTGCTTGGAGTACAAGACAAGGTAGGGATAAATCCTATACTTACTAATAATCATGATACTCAACATTTCTGTTTCCTATAAACCGACCGGAATAATAATAACCGGCAAGATTATACAGGATTTGTTAGAGATCCTTTTAGATGCCCGGTCCCGCATTGCTGTCGGTAGACTGGTCCGGATCGGTCCGCGAATGGACACAGAATGGATATGCGATTCAGGGGGTGTTTGTTTTCAGGGACTTCTTGGTGTAGGGACTAGAAGAAGTCCCTCTTAAAGACTTTTTAACCAAACAGAAGGGACTATTAGGGACTAAAAATTGCTTTTTAAAACTAAATGAAGAAGACTCTCAAGGAGAGTCTTTTTTAGGACTTTCTTAACAATGCCCCTTCCTGCATCCATTGCCCCGCTGCCCCATGGTATTGTTTGGTTGTTATTTTTCTGTATATACTAGGGGTAACATGATCATTTAATAACCTGTAGGGAGGGACTAGAGACTTTTTAGTCCCCGAAAACAAATGGGGAGGGACTTTTTAGGGAATAGAGACTTTTTAGTTGGGACTAGAAAAAGTCCTATGATTTATGAACCAAACAGGTATACCTGGCCATGGGAAGCCCGTCCCGACCCGGCCCGGCCCGACGCTACCCCCGGGCCGGGCTCGGGCCTAGATTTTGAGCCCGAAGTCCGGGCCGGCCCGGGCTCGGGCCCGTCATTTTTGCGCTTTCCTGAAGGTCGGGTCGGGCCGGCCCGAAGCCTGACGGGCTTTTAGGTGTTCGGGCCGGATTTGGGCCCAAAAAACAGGCCCGTTGGTCGGTTCGGGCCAGGCCCGGGCCTGTGTTTTTTGCGTCGGGCTTGGCTAGGCCCAGCCCGAAGCCCGACCCGGCCCGAGGTATGGCCAGGTATACAAACAGGGCTGGAGATGTCTTATATAGCTGTAAAAAGGCATATGTACCCAAGTCCAGATTAAAAACGTCACATCTCTTGACTTTTGGAAAAGGTAAAAAACCGTACCCGATCCAGCTGGCCCCGCACGGTGCTTACCAGATGCAGCAATCACATGCTTACGGTGTACGCTTCCTCTGGACGCAAAAGTAAATGCCAGAACACGAAACGAGCAGGGCAGCAGCACCGTGCTGCGCCGCTGTCCGCACGAGCGGCCCGTGAGCCCGTAATGAGCCCGGATCCAACCCAGATAATTCACCGGCCACGAACGCGGAGTCACGAACGAACGAGAGTTCCACGCCACACGCCCACACCGTCCCCGCATCCGTATCCTTCCAGAACCCTCCGTCGTGAGAAAAAATCTGACCGCGCAGCGCACAATCGCCATCAGCCGCGGCATCAAATCGGGGCGATAACCGCACCCGCACCGGAACCCGGCAAAAGCCCAGGCGACGGAACGTCGCGTGATTTCCCCGCAGACCACCACCGTCACCCACCCGTCCGGCACCGCTCCATCGCGCACGTCTGCCCGTACGCGTCCAGCCCGAACCGTGCCCGCCTTTCCCTTCTCTTCCTCCCGTGCTCCTCCCGAGCGGCCGAACCGACACCGAGACGACGCCAGCCCCCACCCGCGGGAGGGAGGGACACGAGTCCAACAAAGGCGGCCCCTACCCCCACCCCCATCCCCACCACCACCGTCCTCATCTCCTCCTCGAGCCC